TCCAAGCTGGCCTGTTCTAAAGGAGCTGTGCAGAAATGTCCAACCACATAGTGAAGTATTTGTAAACAGCCGGTGGGAAAACTGACAAGCAGAAGAGTGAAGGTGGTGCCTGATAACATGGCAAAGGGCCCAGGGCTTCAAGGACAGGGGAGCCCAGTTGCTGAAACCATGAACTTGGATAAAGCTAAAGAGAAAAGGCCCAGGAGGGGGTCTTTCAAACTCTGAATTAAAGACCCAGGGCATAGGAAAGAGATGGGGGCCAGTGAACTGAACCTGTGCAATTAAACTCAGGTATCCTAATGCCACAGGGTGACTCATGTCCCAACTAGCTTTTGAGGACAGAAGAAAAGCTTCATTCATCAACTTGTTAAGATTCTACCACAGATGGGAGCCGCCAGGGTCTAGGAAGCAACCTGAGCTGGATCGGGCCTCTTCTCAGCAAGTCATACCTTAACCCACTCTCGTTCCCACAATGAAAACACACACTTTGAAAAGAACAGGGAAAATCCCAAGCAATTGTCTGGCCATTCTGCAGGACATCTTCTTTATGTCATTTTGCTCCTTCGACTCATATGCAATGTCATTTTGTTTCCCTTTAAAAATCCTCATGAAGTAGTCTCTTATTCTCATGTTTTTCCTACCCGTGGGAGGGTAGATAGGGTTACTCTATGCATGGACACTAAGCAAACAAGTTTCTCAGTAATGGCCACGAAAGAAAGATTCCCCTTCCGGTACATATTTAAAGTGTTAAAATATACTTACAAAAATCTCAATTAAGAAAACAAGCTCTCCCTGGCCAGTTTGGCTGAGTGGTTAGAAAGTCAGCCGGAGGGCCAAAGGATTGTGGGTTTGATTCCTGGTTAAGAGCACGTACCTTGGATGCAGGTTCGATCCCCAGCCCTGGTTGGGGTGCGTGCGGGAGGCGGCCAATCGATATCTCTCACATGGATGTATCTCTCTCTCTTCTCTCTCTCTCCCCCTCCTCCCTCTCTTCCACTCTCTCTAAAAAGTGATGGAAAGAATGTCCTGGGGTGATGATTAAAAAAAGAAAGAACGATAAAAGAAACAAGCTCTTCCTAGGCGGGGGCTTGGTTGGAGTGGTGTCCCATACACCAAAAGGCCGCATCCAGGAGGCAGCCAATCAATGTGTCTCTCCCTCTTAAAAAAAACAAAAAAAAAACAACAAATCAATTAAAGCATATCCTCGAGTGAGGATTGTTTTAAAAAAGAAAGAAAGAAGCTCAAACCTAGTGCCCAAAACATGACATCTAAATACTGCTCTCAAATAAACAGAACCAGGGTCCTTGGGAAAGTGGTTTATTCCAGGGCAGGGTAGAAAAAATACAAGATGAGTAATTTGATGCCAGAAAGTCAGAGAAAGACATGAAAAAGGATGGGGCACCTTAGGGGGAAACAAGCAACCTGAAAGAGCTCTCAGTGGCCAAATGCAGGAAGAGATTAAGCAATGAAATAAATAAGGACAGCACTGCATTACAAGCCAAAGAAGAAATTACACATCTGACATCACACACTGATACAGCTAATCGAACAAATAAACAAAAGAGGGTGAAGGCCTAGCTCTTCCTCACAAAGCATTCCAGTTCATAAATGTAGACGGAATTACAGAAATGGAAGTCTCATTAGACCATTACAGCAATAACTGCTGCAGGCAAGATCCACCACAGAATGCTAATTGACTGGTGAAAGGTAAGGACAAACAGGATATTTCTATGCAAAGTCTCAAAGTATCTTCCCCCAACTACTAATTACAAAGGGAAAGACACTATCTGTACAGTGGCGAAACCTGGCAGAAACCACAGGATCAGATTATTATCACCAGTAACAAGACATACTAACATCATTCTCAAAACAGGATAAAACATGTAACAAAACCAAATTGCTGGTCATTCTACAAATATAAGTACAAAATACTGCAAAAGTGTCAACGTCATAAAAAACAAGAAAAGACAGAAACTGCCGCAGACTGAAAAAGAATCCGGAGGCATGACAACTAAATAAATGAGGGCTTCTAGACGGGATCCTGGAGCACACAGGGTCAACAGTAAGAGCCTGATGAATTCTGATTAAAGTCAGCAGTTTCATTAATCAGATGGTACCACTGTCAACTTCTTAAGTTTGATGATCGTACTACGGTTATGCAAGATACTAACTGAAGGCAAACTGGATAAAGACGGTAAGGAAACTGTCTAGTTCAGTGACCCTCTGTAAGTCTACAATTCTTCAAAAGTAAAAGGTGTTAAGTTGTAGTCTGAGTTATCATTTTTTCTGATTTATAACTATCTTATGAACAGGCCAGTAAGCCAGGACAAGCATAAAAAGGAAACTGAGAACCAATAGTTAAACTGCAGTTTGCAGCCATCTAGTAAATTCCATCTTCCCTAAACCAGGGACACTTAAGAGTAAAATGGTTTGCACTTCTCCTCCCCACCCACAGGGTAAATGGTTTAAATTACCCCACTCAGGAAGACAGACAGCACAAATCCAATTATTACTATTTTCAGACCACACCCAAAAATAAATGAAGTTATTTTGGTATATCAGCATAAAGCTGATGAATATTCCATTGAAAAACCCTTCCCTAAGACCACTGGTAAATGCCCAGCCTTTAAAACCTCTCAAAACAAAGGTCCCATGCATGCTCTTCCTCCCCAGAGCACACTCCCACTCTCCCCTTCCTTCTCCCACTGGCCTGCATCTCCCAAACTCTAAGGGACCCCAAGAGGCTTGTAACCAGGCCAGCAATGACCAATGGTAGTTCATCCCGGGCAAACCCTCTGAACCTGTCCTCCAGGTCCCTTTTTTTCTGACTTCTTAGTAAGCCAAAGCAGACCAGCCTAGACTCATTTCCCCAACCTCTCCTTGCTTCATTGTCCCCAATTTTAATAAACGTCCTCGAAAATT